CTGGCGAAGGCCGCGGCCGCCTGCGGCGTTCGAGGCACCCGGCCCCACTTCCTTCGTTCTCGTCATCTTGCAGCCCCGGCCCTGCGCCTGGCGCCCCGCGCCCCCCTCAGCGCCCGCCCCTCGTGGTCGAGGGGCCGAGGCCTCTGGTTATTTCTCGTGGATCATTCCGGGCTCAGCTTATTTCTGGTTTATTGTCAGGGGCTCTGGTTATTTCTTACCCGCTTTCCAGAAGCGCCCCAGAGCCCCGGGCCGGGGGATGGTGCCATCTTGGAGAGGTTACCGCGGTGCTGGCGAGAGCCGCAGAGCCGGGGCAGGGGGTTTGGGAGCGCGGGCTTCCGTAAACGCAAAGTTTTTCTCAAGATCGCGGTGCCAGGTAGGCGAAGCTGGAATTCCTGCAGCTAGTGAGTGCAGGACGGGTAGGATGTTTTGATACCCAAACCAGGCCTTGTTGGGGCCAGAGGAGAAGGGGATGCTGCCCAGGGAAGTGGGATGAACCTGGAAAAAGTAGGGTTGGGCAAAAATATGAGGTTATGCTCTTGTGAACTGGTAACAGAAACGCACATTGATCAGTCCGGGTTTTCAAAGGGTAAAACTTAAATGGGAAACACCTGCCAGTGCTATCTGGTCATAGGCATGGGAGCCTTTAGGGTTGTGCTGCTGTGAGAGAGGCAGTCCTGAAATACGCCAGGAGACTGGCAAAATACCCAGCGGTAGGGTAGGAAAGTGCATCAAGGAAGCCAGAATTAGCCTCGAGGAGAGGCAGAAAAGGACTGCCCAGGACCGTGAGAATGGCACCTGGCTGCCAGGGAGGCTGTGGGAGTTTGGCTTGTTTGGCCTAGCGGGGATGATAGGATCAAGTGTTGACAGATGAATTCTGGCTCTGTAGCTTAATTAAGTCACTGTAAAACAGGAGCAGTAGATGTAAGATGGCAATGAAAATATCAGGTGTGGAAACCTTTTGAAGACTTAAGCCTTTTGTTTATAGTATTTTGTGAGGCAGAGGGGTATTTTTCATATGAAAGGTGGAGCTGGGTGAATCTGTGAGAAGGAGGGGGCCTTGAGGGACCAGGGAGGCTGCGCTCAGTGGTGGTCGGGAGGGGAAAGTTCATCCCAGGAACCTGTTACCCAAGCAGGAGTTTACACAGGCTCGGTGTTTTTGCTGCTAAGAATAGCTGCACTTCTCTCCCTGTTACTCACTAAAGAAATGCGTAATCTCCTGCTTACAAAAAATATGTTAAATAGTTGATTACAGTATCCTGTAACCATGTTTTAAATAATCCTTTGGAGTAAATCTCTCCATTGCAGGGCGGCAAGGCCTCCCTAAATTCACCTTGGCTGAATCAGTAGCAAGGATTATTACTTTCTCTTTTCCATGTTGATAATACAGCCCTGTCTGAGTGTCAGTAGTCCGTGTAATACAAATGTCTGCGTTGTTGTAAGTTAATTGAACAAGTATCTACCAATAATCATGGAGGTGGGAATGTGTAACCGTGGGAGGTAAAATCGGAAGGAGCAGACTTGTGAAAAGTGTCTGAAATGGGAGTGGCCAGCCCAATTTCTGTAATGTAAGGCTGACCATTTAATGCTAGGAGGACTGAAGTTAGTCAAAGGAAGGCTAGTGCCTGCCGAAGGTTCCTTGGATGTGTGGAGCATCTTTCAACTTGTCACAACAAATCTGCTGTGATCTGTGCCTCAAAATCTGTGTTCCATCTGTTATAAAAGCTTCTTGCTCACATTTATAAAGCTTTTAAAGAGTTAGAGTTTTTCTTTTTTTTTATTTTTTTTCTCTGAAGTGTTAGAGAAATTGAAGGGTTTTTTTTTTTTTTTGGTTAAGGTCTCGGTTTGCTCATATTGGAGTATGTTATTGGGCAGACAATCGGCAGGAATCTAGCATTCGGGTAGTTTTGAAAATTCTGACTGTGGTTTGCCTGCTAAGTGCCCGAATGTATTTTTGGCTGCACTGCCATCTGATCAGTTACACTGTTAAATATTATACACTTAGAATGATGCTTATTCCTAAGTAAGGCTAATTGCTCTTTACTAAGTTTATTGATTTCCTTGCAACGAAGCATGCCAAACCTAGTGATGAATTAAAGGCAGATCTTCCTTTCTGAAGAAAGAAATTTGGTATCTTCTCTCTCTTGGCCCTGTCTCCTGGGTTGTGTCTCTCTGAGGTCCACAAGTGATCACAGTAACTAGTCAAGCTTTAGCGACAATGCCACGCTGTTTTAAAGTTAATTTGAGGCTGTTGGGTTAATGCAATCTAGATAGAGGCACTGAATCCTCCGTCCCAAGGGAGATTAAACAGACCCTTTTGTGAATGGTGTGTCTATGGGAAAAGCTGCTGCCTGTGCAGAAGGATGCTGAGAAGGGCAGAGGAAAGTTAAAACCCTATATGAAAACTTCTCCTATATGGAAACAGATCTTCTCACCTAGTAGTGTCATGCAGCTGTGGTGCACACGTTTATTTTTGTTTCTCACAGGGTGATTATTGCATTTTGTGAAATCTTTATGTATGGTCTAACCCATGTAATCATGAAGTGGCTGCAGGAGATCTGCCTGAAGAAAGTAGCTAGGATATTGTAGGTATAATATCTGCATTTCACCGCTTACGCTGCTTACTCTGTTGCCTTGCTAAGGAAATCAGGAGCGGAGCCAGCATTTGCCAGGAGTTCTCACCTGAATGATGACCTTGGGGAGGACATCGAAGGCTGAGCCTGGCACTGAGGACTTGGTTCCTCCTTAGCCTTAGGAAACCAGGAAAAGGCTTACGGCTACACTGAGCATTGGACATTCCTTTTGCTTTTTAATTTTTTGTTTAGAACATGTGTCTGATCTTTTGACTGAGAGCAAAAGATTTCAGATAGGACATGTCTAGAAGGATCTGTTTTGCCTGGTTTCCGTGGCTGTGTCCTCGGTAGAAATTGCCCCTTAGTATCTGTTGGTTAGGCTTGTTAACATAATGTAACAACATAAAGGGCACAGCTAATTTGCTTGGGGCCAAGAGTCTCTTGCCTAGAAGTAACTAGTACAATGGCACTGCTCTTACCGAGCTCATTGTGGTTTGGTTTGCAGCTCTGACCAAGCAAAAGAGCATCTGAGCAGGTGAAAAGCTCCCTTTGAACATTTGCAGCTGTTAGGAAAATGCTTTTAATTTGAGGCATGTTAATTAATTGAGCCAAAGTTGCTGTGTGTTCTGAATGTTGTCTTTAATACACAAACCTGTAGAATTTTTGTCAAATTGTACTTTTTCAGGATGGAAAACTTAATGCACCAATGAGGAAGGGTTTGAAAACTTCACAGAAATTCTACTGCTGTCCTATTGAAGGCTGCCCTAGAGGACCAAACAGACCATTTTCCCAGTATTCTCTTGTAAAACAGGTATTCCTTTTTTTTTCCTCATTTGGTCCTGACTTTCTGTACACCAGAGAGAGCATACACTTTTGCACTCAGATGGGAGAAAAGTGCCTCGGTGTCTGTGTAAAAGTTGCAGAAGTTTATGCAGGAAGTCCATGTGGGCCTGTGGTGGGTGAATGTGCCTGTTTGCCTGTTGATATTGGAGGACCTGAAGCTTTTGATCAAGCAGACACTGGTATGCTCTGCTAGGAGGGAAGAAAGCCCTTAGAAAAGATCAAAGTCGGGGAGAAATCACAGTAGCAACCAGTAAGAGTTTATTATGTAGCCAGTGCTTTTAAACAGCTTTTTAAGTGGGGAAGAAGTAGGGGTTTTTCTCTGCTTCACTCTCAAAATGCACTTGTTTACAAGTTACCTGTTGAAGAGGGCGTGTAAAACTTGTTTCTCTGCGTGAGTAAAATCCTACTCTTCTGCTTTTGGTCATCTGTGATTACAAATGGAGACTGTAGGTGACTACTTCTTGGTGTGACGTAAACATTTATCTGCATTTTAAAGTGGCACTGCTGGTATGGAGCTAATATGATCAGGAGCCTCCCAGGAGATCCATTCTCCCAGCTTGGAGAGCTGAATGCGGTATGGATTTTGTGTATGCACCAATATCTGTACAAATAAAAACTTATGAATTCTTACACTCAGGCTTTTTTCCCGTACTCCAACCCATATAATGAAACTTTTCAATCTTATGTCTTCTTAGCTTGAAAGTATGTGTTTTGAGATGCACATAGCACAAAAAGATTATCAAATTTGGAGCTCTTTAAACTCAACTTATTTCTCATGAGATTTTTCAAAAGATTATGATTTCTAGTTCTATTCTCCAGTGGTATTTAACATGTAAAGTATTGCAAATGTCAGTGTCTCCCCTAAAGGTTTCTCAGCTGCAGACTGACGTTGACTTCTCATTGTGTGTTCTAGCACTTTATGAAGATGCATGCTGAAAAGAAGCACAAATGTGATAAATGTAGTAACTCCTATGGTACTGAATGGTACTTGAAGCGGCACATAGAGGATTGTGGCAAGACTTTCCAGTGTACTTGTGGGTGCCCTTATGCCAGCAGAACAGCATTACTGTCTCATATTTACAGAACTGGCCATGAAATTCCTGCAGAACACAGGTAAAAGTGAAGGAACAAAGTGTAATGCTCCTTGTGTTCATCCCAGAGTCCTCTGCCAACTCTGTGCTGCCTGTTTGTCCCCTTTCTCTTGATTAAATTGGAGACTGGCTCACACTGTTTTAGCTCTAGAACTGTTTCCAGCTCTTTCTTTGTTCTGTTGCTTTTAGCAGTTTCTGTTTTGTTAAAGCCAATGCTGATTAATTGCCTAATCAGTAAGATCAGGTTTCCACCTATGAAATAGGAAGCGCTGCCAGTAAGATAGTTTGTGACGCTGCTGCACTAGAAGGTATCAGTACTAGGGATTCTTGTTGGAATACTTTTAGTTTCTTTAAAGTAGAGATAATTTGAGAATGTATATAGCTGGTAACTGTAGTGTCAAATACAGTTTATTTTCTTTTATAGTCCAATTAGCATCAAAATGAATTAATCTCTGATTTGAAGATATCTAATGTATAAGGGGAAACAAACAGTCTAAACCTTAACCTCGCTTTAGAACACAGGTGTCTGTGAAAAAGATGCATTTTATTTTCCCTTTGGAAAAAAAAAAAAAAAAAGAGGGGAACAAATCCTATTCTTTATTCCAAAATTATCAGTCATCTTGTTTTCAACCTCCTTTGTGGCGTGGGGTCATATTTCTAATGCAGTGACTTGAAAGCATGGAAGGCAGATGTTTTGTGCTTGAAGAGAAGTGTAAATTATTGATCTGATGTTCACAGGGATCCTCCTGGCAAGAAAAGGAAAATGGAAACCTCCATACACAATCAGCGGTTGGCAGAGAAAGCAAATGAAGGATTCATCAGTACACGCAATGATAGCCCTGGCACTCAGGAACTGGACTCATCTGAAGTGAAATTAGTAAGCCCTTTTGAAGACTCCCGCAGTTCTAACTTTGCTAAGCAAATGCAGCCAAAATGCACCCCGAAGATGCTTTTACCCAAGCCCAAAGTGGCTTTGGTTAAGCTGCCTGTGATGCAGCTTGCTCACTTGCCTGTGTTTGTGTCTGCAACAGACCCTTCTGTGAAACCTGTTGTAGTGGCTGTTGATAATCAAGGGTCGGTTATGAGTACTGTTCATTTATTGCCTCAATCTGTAGGAATTCTGATTCCAGCACTGGAAGCAGAAACACTTGTGTTTAAAGACTCTATGCCTGTTTCAAAAGTGACTAACTCTGGTGATAACGAACCAGTAAGTACCGGTGTGCAAGTTGACTTGGATAAGGTTACATCAGCTAGCGCAGGACAAGAGCTGGGGAGCGTTTGCCACAAGAATAAAATTTCTTCCATAAATGTGCAGACTGACTTATCTTACATTTCTCAGAACTTTGTACCAGCTGCAGCCTGGACTCCCGATTCTTCTGTGTCCTCCTGCTCTCAGACAGACCTGTCGTTCGGTTCCCAGGTGTCGTTACCCATCAGTGTGCAAACCCAGACACTGCTGCCTGCTTCTAAGCTGACTTCCTCCATCGCTGCCCAGACCGATGCCCTTAGTCAGGCTTGTTTTCCAACGGGTGGTGTTTCTAGGGAGACCCAAACCCATCAGACACAGACCTCTCTGGATGGAAGAGCGCAGATGGACCAGGCCGTCATGTGCAGTGACATCTTTGACAATGTCCATTCGTCATTCAGTGTTTCCACTCAGATTAGCCTTCCAGAGAATAATTTAATGACTGCGAATATAGACGAAACCCTGCTGCAAAGGAGTAATTGCAAGAGCCTGAATCAAGATACGGTGAAGTCGGAAGCCCTTATCAGCTTCAACGCGCAGACGAATATACTTCCGCCTCAAAATACAACAGATAATCAAACTCAGACAATAGACTTGCTAAGTGATCTGGAAAACATCTTTTCAGGAAACATGCCTGGCCAGACACTGGATAATCGTGGCCTTTTGTCTGATGCTGGTTCTAATGCTGACACACATCTGCCATCTGGCCCGTCGCAGAGCACAGGAATAGATTTTGATATTGAAGAGTTCTTTTCGGCATCTAATATTCAAACTCAAACTGAAGAGAGTGAGCTTGGTACCTTAAACTCTGAGCCTGTTTTGGAGTCTCTAGACATCGAAACCCAGACAGACTTCTTATTTGCAGACAGTGCCACGCAATCGTATAGCTGCAGGGGAAGTTCTAACTTCTTAGGTTTGGAAATGTTCGATACGCAGACACAGACAGACTTGAATTTCTTTTTAGACAGCAATGCCCACCTGCCTTTGGGCAGTATTTTGAAGCAGTCTAGTTTCTCCATGAGCACTGATTCGTCTGATACGGAAACGCAGACAGAAGTGTATCCTGCCACTAAAACTATGCCTAGCCAGAACATAGAAAGCAAAGTCCAGCTGAATAGTGCTGAAACACAGACTATGGATAGTTGCTTTGAGAACCTGGGGAATTTATTCCTCACCAGCAATGAGACCCAGACAGCAATGGATGACTTTCTTCTGGCTGACTTAGCCTGGAATACGATGGAGTCCCAGTTCAGCTCGGTAGAAACACAGACCTGTGAAGAACTGTGCTCCTTATTTCAGAGCTCCGACAAGTCCAGCCACTGAGCGCTGTGCAACAGAACTGCTGCCTGTGGTGTGAAATTAAGTTATTGGGGTGGCCGAGGTGGATGGAGCAGGTTATCCGCTTCCGCTGCTGAATGTAGGTGTCGTGCGCAGTTGGCCTGAGAGGCTTTTCATGCTGCAGGTGCCCTACTGAATATGTAACTTCAACATAAACTGTGTGGGCATAAATGTGCGGGGGTGTGTTTGGGGCTTTTTGTTTTGTTTTTGTAACTTGTTAATGTACATTTGAACCTTAACCATTTGTGGTGCCTATGTTTGCTCAAATTTCTTTGCAAAGTTGATGCTGCTTCTATTTAAGCTGAAAAAAAAATGAAGTTTTCCTCTATCTGTTTATTTCAGGCATATATATATATGTATATATATATATACACACACACGCACCTATATATATATATATATAGGGTTCCAGTGTTCTGGACCAAAAACTGGCCTGTCCAATTCAGATGCTTCCCTCAACTTATGGGGAAGGTTTCTTTTAGTGTAAGCTACTTTTGTTTGTTTTTTTTTTCAGTAGCTTTTTCTCTTGCATTTGGCATGGATTTGGCAGTATAAGCCATACTGGCTTATTCGGTGCCTTCACAGCTCTTACTCCTGGGTAGGCTGATATTTTCCAAGCACCCATCCAGCAGTCTAGATTTGATATTATTCCCTTGGCTGTAGATATTCAGAAGTATCTGTTCGACTTGCTGCACTCTTCAGCAAGATTCATCAATTCATTGTTAGCTTTATTAATGTAGACTGTTGAATATATTTATTGTTACAAATATGTAGAAAGCAATAGGTTTTTTTTCTTCTCAAGTGGCACTGATGCCCCTTTGAAGGGTAGGAAAAGAACTTGGAATACACAGTTGGATGGAAAATTAGCACGTTGCCCTTTTAACTTGTGTGCTCAAATTTTTTTTTAGGAGGGATTTGTTTAAATCATTCGTGACTGTAAGACACTAATGTGTGTGCCTGAAAGACTGGAATAATTTTGTTTTGCTGAAATTCTCCTAGTTCTACCAAGGCAGAGCTTGAGAAATCTTATAATGGTTTATACTACCATTACCTTAAAAAAAAAAATCTTTAGAAATGGGAAATTAAATTCTCTAAGATACATCCTCACATGGACTGTTGGACTACCTGCTTCGGAAAAGCAATGGCACATTGAACCTGTGAAGGAAAGCTGGGAGCCCGTCCCATGGAAGCCTTTTGGGAGGAAGTATCCTGCTTTGGCACATGGATCTGCAGCCCTCAGTGCCAGCTGTTCTTTGGAAAGTCTTCTGGGTATAATCAAATTTGAACAGAGTAAGTTGTTCAAAAGAAATACATGTTTGTGTTTTTTTTTTTCCCCATGTTCAACTGTGCCCTGTATCAAGCTTGTGGTAAATGCAATTGCCTGAAAAAAGTAAGCCAATTGTGAATGTAACCTGGAATTGGGCCTTAACTGCTTTTTATCTTTTACTGTAAATAGCAGCAAACTGGAGGCCCCCAGTTTTGTCTCAGACAAGTTGTAGTTTTCATTATCTTAAATGACAAAAGCGACTTGGTGTCAAGCTCCTGGGCCTATAATAGACCTGACTTCCCTGGTGGGAGAGGTTTTGGCTGTCTCTTTGCTAGGCAGCCCCCCTGGGAGGTCTGGCCAAGCCTTAGTTTTGAAGATTCACTGTGCTCTGCTTTGTGTTGGCTCCTCAATGCACGGATATGGGAGTTGGTTGCTCATCCCGTGTAGCTAGGCGCCTCTGTTTGAAATGACAAATATCTTTCAACTTTTGTCACTTCCTCACCCTTTCTAAATTGTCATAGTTAATACAGTAATATGGTAAGAATCTCTGCTTAACCCTGGAGACTGTCTATGTAAATTATGCTAGAAACATGTATCCTGTTATTCATTATTTCTAGGTGAGCGCTTGGAATCTTTGGGTAAAGACTGCACGAAGGAACCTTGTCGTTCCCTTAGGAATGTGGTGATTTTGCTTTTGGTAAATGTTGTTCCACCCTGTCCTTTCTCCCAGGTGTCTCAATGTCTGGATTTTCAGATCTGAGAAGTGGACTAGAGGGAAGAGGAGGAAGTTAAATCCAGTTCTTAGATTATTGCTTCTAAGGCAATAGACAGCCGGGGAGAGCTGTTTTCCACAGCTGCCGAGGGCAGAGGTGAGAAAATCTGTTACCTCCAAGTGAGGACGGAGCCTTTCTGCAACAGAAGGGATCTTCACTGGGGAGGAGCAGAATTACAGAAGGTTTCAGATTCCTCCCATAGCCACCTGAGATGCTGGCCAGCACTTGAAAAACCTGGGAACTAATTTACAAGTCAGAATGAGAATTGCCTTTTTAATTTTTAATTTATTTATTTTTTATTCAACATGTAAGCCAAAGCTCTTAATATCTGTGACTAGCAGGAAAAAAAAGGAGGTTTATGCCCACAGATTTTTACAGATCATCCCATGCTCATTCTATTTTATAAACGAAAGTGTTCGTGAGCTTTCTGTGTGTTATCAGAATACAAAAATAGCATTTTCCTCCTTCAGCTAAATTTAGTTACATTGGCACGCTACTACTATTGAATGAAAATGCAGCATGATGAAAGCAGTTCAACTGACCTGCGTTACCCTGTAGAATTTATTCATTTTGACCAAGATTAATTTCTTCACAAATTTGACTGCCTGAGTTGTTTATATAAAAAAAAAAAGTCAAACAAAAATAATAAATATATATATACACATGTTGGAAAACACTTTGGATTCTAGATTGCTAGCCCTGTCCTCATTTAGGATTTATTTAATGTTAAGAAAATGCAAAAATTGCAATCTGAATTTTTGTAGCTCTGTTAAATCCAGAGTGAACCTAATGAAACTTGACCTGAAATATTGTTGCTAAATACTTTTAATTTTTCAAAAGTAAATGGTTTGTAGATTTGCAGAATTAACTTTAGTCAAGTATTTCTTAGTAGTAATAAGGTTATGTGTGTCTTTTTCTGCAGGTTGTCTCTGATTTAATTTTCAAGGCACTGTCTCTGTTATACAAATCAATAGCGATTTGTTGTTTTGCTATTTTTTAAATGAGTAGTCTTATCCTCTACTGCCATTCGAAGTAGGATATAGAAAAAGCAACATCAGAATCTTTATAGCCTCTTAGCACAAATTTTTCTTTAGAAGTGATAACTAACAGTACTTGCTCTTAGTCTTTACACTTCCTTTTTAGTTCCAAGTTATGCTGTGATTGTTGCATCCTGACTGCTCTAAAACTAAATCACTCCATAGTTTTGTAGGATCATTTGAGTTTTTCTTTATTGTTTAAAGAAAAACGCTGAGATTTACCGCTATGTATCGACCTGCTGTTCACCAAGTTCAGCAGTTTGTCTTTGGGAATGAGAGTAGCCCAGAACTTCAGAGAGGAAATGGAAAATGTCTGTAGAGGCTGTTAACAATTATTGCAGCTGGCAAGACTGCGGTTTTCAAACTTCACTGACCTGTGGTGCATTTGGTTGTTGGAAAAAAACTTTCCTCATCCCGTGCCCAGAGTGTGGAGTCTCCATCCGTGGAGCTGCTCCAAAGCCTGGACACGGTCCTGGGCAGGAAGCTCCCGGTGACCCTGCGTGAGCAGGTTGGACTAGATGATCTCTGGAGCCCCCTCCCAGCCTCAGCCCTTCTGTGGTTCTGGGATACATCCAATTACTGTGATTCCGCCTTCCGGAGGCTGCGGTGTTCAGGGAAGAGTTGGTCAGGAAAGGTGGATTTGCTGGCTCTGCCATCCGATGGATCCGGCTTGTGCCAAGTAATTCCAAATCAACACGGCACCAGTGTCGTACAGTTCTTTGAATGGATGAAAATAAACAGAGCAGTGGCAGATTTTTTGTAATGTTTAAGAATAATGCAATTATGTATACATTTGAGTTGTCCTTCACTTAAATATACCTTTCTGGGAAAATTGATATATTTTGTGCCTGCTTGATAGAGTAGTACAGGGGCAGGTTTGAGACCATTGGCTCTTTGCACATGTGTGTTTATGCAAAACTGAGTTGAATGACTTGAAATTTCTGGCTTTAGAGAGACCGCTGATTGTTTTAACAGGTAAACGTGTTCTGTTTTCAAGATATATATACATATATATAAAGCAGAAATGAAATACAAGCAAATCTGGGACACGTTGCCTTCACAGTCTATGAGAACATAAGCACAGAACAGCTGAAAAATGAGGTCTGTCTTGATGCCTTCCGTGTTTGCCACTTCATGCTAAGAACTTGTTTAGCCGTGGATGTGTGTTTCCACTTCTATTTGCATCTATTCGTGCTGATGTGCTTGTAAATGCTTCTTTCTGCTTTGGTAGGGAGGGAATCCTCCCCCTCAAATTTTCATGCCAGCCTGAGAGAGATCAGCAGTTAAAGCTGGAGTTTATAAACTCCGCATATTCTCAGCTATGCAAAGTCATGTCTAGAAAATTTTCTCCTGAAGTGCATGTAAACAGCTGTAAAACAAGCCGTGCGAGACCTCATTTTAAACAACTGAGTCAGTGTCTGTCACTTAGCAGGGTACTTAACTAATGCTCCTTAACGCAGTTTTATTTCTAGGCTCAATCTCACTTGTTTGTTTGTTTATTGACAGCAGAGGCAGAATTTCCCTGCTGCCCCTATGTACCCTGAGGGTACAGGGACAACAGAACCAACTCTGATGTGAGCAGAGAGAACCACCTCCCGCTATTTCCACTCCTTATCCTGTTAACATGTGCTCACCTGCTTATTTTGGGGAGAATAGGTGAAGAGGGGTATGTGTTGGCAGGATTCAGATTTGTTTGTTATTTTTTTAATAACCTTTCAAACATTGGGCAAGTAAAGTGTAAGACTAATATGCTTACATGTGGAATCAATATAAGGTGCTCAACTTGCAAAAGAATATTTGTTATTGATGCCTCAGAAGTTTACCAAACTTTTATTTGCCTTTATCACTAAGGTGTTCAGCTTCCTTTGCTTTTATCTGTTTTTGATGTGTTTTAAAAACATGGTCTTAATGTACAATTTACTGTTCCAAATACTTTCACACCAAAACATTGCTGACATTGTGGGCCTTGCAGCTTTTCAC